ACCCCTGCTCTGCGACTCTTGCACTTTATCCGGTAGTAACTGATTTTACCTATTTATTTAAGAAAGATACGGGTCAGCTCCGTCAGCTGGGGGCATCTTTTTACGCTGTATTTAAAGATTTCTGTTAGCACGTTTTGTATTCCTATTTAACCTTCTTTAGCCAAAAAGCTAACCAAATCCACTGTGTTTTGGGGGTGGGAGCCGGTCTTAGAAAAGTAGAAGAGTGGGATGGTCTGTTGGGATTTTTTGACCGAGGGGGGGGAAAAAAAAAGAAAATAAAGATTTACATTTTTGCTTTACTTGTGTGCATACCCGGGACGGGGTTTCTTACCTTGGCTGATGTGGGGTAGAGGACAGGGGTGGCAGATACCCCAGCTGCGGGTTCTCTTCCCAGGTCCTGCAGAGCCACGGCTGCGGTGCAGGTGTGAATAAGAGACCTAAGGGGCCTGAAGGACGGGTTACAGAACCTGCCGTAAACCACCTCTGTCAGCGTTTGCTTTAGATCTGCTCTGAACAGCCACCCCGATCCCTGAATGAAAATGGAAATTTATGGCCTAATACAAAACCCAAACCATCAAATCATTGTCTTGCTTGGACAAAAGCCTCAACTCTGCCACTTCAGCCAAGGTTCATGTTAAACTACAGAAAAGTAGGAGTATTTTGTGAACATGCTAAAGGCGCTTTAGCTTTGGATTTGAATACTAGGGATGGCACAGAAGTTCACATGATCGGGAGTGGGCTGGATGGCTCCACACTGAACACTTCCAAACACCAAAAGTGGTAGTAACAGAAGCCTCTCCTGCAATTCAGTCAGTTTATTAAGGAAGGATATATTAATATATATGCATTTTGAGGATAAGGCCAATTCTTACTGCCTAGAAAGCTGTACTTCAGAGCCTTGCAGAGCAAGTTGTTAAGACCCCAGTTACGGAAGAGCACCTGAGTGCCACGAGGCTCTGATGGTTTGGAAGCACAGAAAAAGTGAGCCATGTGCTGGTGGCAGAAATACCCTGTATCAGGAATCATGGCCCACAGAATAAGGTTACCACCAATGCACAAAATCCCTCAGTGTCACCCTGTAATGTACCTGTGCTTGCAAGATCTGGGACACCTGAACCGTGGTTGAGCTGCAAGCTCGTAAGGCTACGTGGCGTAGCAGGATTGCAGATTAATATTCTCCATCCAAAAACCAGAGCTGTCCTTAAAAAAAAAAAAAAAACAAAAACCCACCACAAACCATGAAGCAAAACCCAATGAACCAAACAAAATCAGGCGCCATCCTCCCCAGGGGGACTTCGGTGCCTAAGGAGCTGTTACCTTAGGGGTCAGGAAGACCCAGAAGAGAAGCACTTACAGCAGGAGACGGAAAATGAGGCAATCATTTCTTGGGGGTGCAGGGTGAATTCAAGTTTCCTGACTGTAAGAAACCAAACTCACTTGTTCTGCTCCTGCAGACTTAAGTTACAGTAGTTGTAGTGAGTTCTTGAGATTCCTATGCAGCACTTGGGCTGCATTCAGCAGAAACAGTTGTATTTGTTACAGTATTTCACCAAAACTTGGCAACATTAACTCTGACCCAACATACCAGTAATTGAGGGGAAATGTAGCCCCTTGAAGCAGCATGTATATTCACATTGCCCACATGTGTTGGCCAAATGCCATGTGCAAGTACACGGATACTTTTATCACAAATTACACATCTTCCTATTATGTTACATGACCCTGCAATGATTAAAAAAAACCCATTTCAACACAAAACACGTTAGAAAGAGCATATTTAAGAATCCACATGTAAAAAACATCACACCTATGGAATCAGAGTTAAGACTGGAGCGTGGTGGTTATTACAAATATTCTGTATCTGGCAAGAAATGAGTTTGTCAGGAAAAGCACGTTCCCAAATCCTCTTTGCCGAATACCATTCTTGGTAGCAGTTACCTACCAGTGTCTACAACTTCTCCCTCCCTCGGTTTGGGGTGCTTGCTATCAAGTGGGCAAAGTTAGCCTCTGCAACTGCCTGTCATTTCGTATAGGGAAGTCCTATTCCACAAAAGCATCCATGCATACGCTTAACTTTTAAGTACTGCTCCGTCAGGGCTCCGCTTGCGTGAGGGATTACGGAGGTTCATACAGTAAGCCAGCGAGCTGCTGCTGGAAAAGGTAGTCCTTGCCGTGCCCTTGTGCCAGTGCTGGCGCCCATCAGCGGGCGAGTTTGGTGCGCTACGCAGGTGGAAAACTTGACCAGAAAGGCAGACTGCTCTTCAGCAGCAAGGCTCCCTGAAACGGCGTGCTAGCGGGCTTTGCGAGCGGCAGATGACGAGGATAGGGGTGCAAGTAAACAGCGAGGGGACAGTTCCTTTCTCCCAAGGTTAGCTGTAGCACGTGTTAGCTTTGGCACGTTTCGCTGTTTACATGAAAAGGGTGGTGGGAGAGGACCTTTCTGTCGTCTTTACCAAACAGATGGTAACACCACAAAATGATGGGTAATGTAATTACAAAAGTAATTGCAGGGACCCCTACAGTGTTCTGTTGCATTACGAGAGGTAAATTTCCATGGGTAACTCGGCAAAATCAGCGTTTAGCATTATTTTGTAATATCCCTTGTAAAGTTTCTAAATACCTTTTAAAACAGCTACTCACCTTGTCCTCATAACATTTCCTTTTCAGCAATTAACTTCTCTTTAAAAAATGACCTGAGACCATCTGCAAAAAAGTTTGCATTTTTGTGAAATATATCAACTCTCATAGGTCAATTTATTCAGAGTTACAAATTTCATTGAGAATAAAAGATTTATGCATTTCTCTTAATTAACAGAACAAGTTTAGCTAAATATAAACTCTGCACTAAAGTTTTGCAGTGGCACAATACCAACACAGAATACAGAAGCATCTTTAAACTATACAAAATTTTAAAATTGAAAATAATCCTGTTTACATATTCTTTATACATTAACATATAAAAGACCTCATTTAATGAGGCATCTAAAAGAATCAAAAACATCTCTACAGCTATCTCTGAAAATCCGTATCTGGAAACAATTCATTACACAGAAGCTTTACAAGACTATTTAAACAAACCAATACACACTTTTTACAAGATTAACATTCCAAAAGGTACTCATAGGCAGGTTGTCACTTATTTTTGCAGTTTACCTCACTGGTTATCTTTAATTGTAAAAATCTTCATATTTATATATGTTGGGTATTGGTGGATAACCAGTAATCTAATTTAAAAGTTGTGCAAAACAAACAAAAATTTGGAAAAACAGTATGTTTAACCAGTCATTTATATAAAATACCAAACTAAAGCGCTTCTTTTGCCCCGTGTGGGAAAAAGGGAAAAAGCCATAACCAATCTCTTTCTGGAAAGTTACCAGTTACATTTTTATATTCCTTCATGAGACTCCTTCTATAAGTTATGATAAATTAAAAGTTCCAATAAGACACTGACTGATGGATGGACCTGCCCAGCATCCTCCAGTTTCCAGCTTCTGTTTGCTGTCCGTATCCTGCTGCTGCTTCTTGAGATCAGGAACACTCAGCCTGCGTTGGCACCATGCTACCCGACGGCTGAAATGGCAGCTCTCGAGACCTACCGAGAAGCGGAGCTCTACATAACAAAGACCTGCCATGGGGCTACTAATTTGAGCCATTTCCTCTTCATCGCTTCTAACATACCAGGCGAGCCAACAGCAAGAGGTGTGCAGAAGTCATCTGAACTTTTAAAAACTAAGTTCAAATTATATTGAAAGTATGTTTTCAAGTTTGTTATAATAAATGCAATTACTAAGAGATTACCAGTTAGCAAAACTACTGCATGTGAATAACAAATGGAGAAATCTAACATAACGCTGGCCAGTAATGCTGGTTTTAAGAAGCAGATATAATATATTTAAAAGGGTCCTTTCTGAGAGGTTTTCTTTCCCCTTATCTTCTGGCAGTTAGGATATTTGGTGAAGCCCATATAAAGGAACAGGATTTTCCAGAACTACTTGCTGTACACTTGAAAAAAAAATTTTCAGTCTCTGTTGGTGTTATTAGCTGCAAAAGCATGTAGATTTCCCATCTGGCTCAGACCACTCTGAATATGTGCAACGTGGATCTCAACGTTATTCTGAAAACAACTACAGGAAGAAAAGAAGAAGAAAAAAAAATATCTGTTAAACCCCATATTTAAGAGTTGTGCCTGAATATTTCTACAGTGAAAGCCAAGGTACAAACGTAGCCAATACAAATATTCAGACAAATCAGACAGTAGTACATACTAATGCAACTTGATGGACACATATGTGAAAATAGCATTTGCATAAACAGCTGCATGAAATCAAGAGTTACTGACTTGGGTACTTTTAAAGATGACTTTAACATGACCAGAATTAATGAAAGAAAAATATTGCAAAGAGATGCTAAAATGCCCAAAGTAAGTACAGTGAAATGGAAACATCATCACCTTCGCAGTGTACATCAACCTCTAGTTGAATCCATTCCAACATGCATTTGCAGTGTTGATTATGGAGAAGTTTCACCAACGTTTAGGGTTTATTTGTGTTTTTACTAACAAAAAATGCTATAAAACAGCATTTCTTAATCATTATTTTTAAATCAAAAGGCCATCCTACTATCCTTGCCAAAAAAAAAAAAAAAATTCATGGCTGCAGCCTCCCATTATTATGTAGCAATACGAGTATGGAGGGTATAAGGAAATACTTAGCATTTAGGTATATTTTCTAAATTATGTAATTTAGCACCATTTTAAGTATAAAAATATCCTGGTCACAAATTGCTGGAGGCTGCAGTGTACTCCAGACAAGCATAACCACATTCTTGCTATCACCACATTCTTGATATTTTTATGCTTCCTCAGGCACCTGCTTGTGACAACTGTTGAAAAATGGCCCATCTAGCCTAGATGGGCCTTTGATCTGGCACAATATGGCTGTTCTTCTGTTGCTTGGTTTAAAATACTGCTAATGGAAGCTGGTCAGAAGCTATAATTATCTCATATGGCAGCTTTTGGTATTTACAGACAAGAGGTTGAATAACTGTAGAAGAAGAATACTGAAATTGTACTGTTCTATGGTTTAAAGAACTTACATTTAGTAGTGGGATTTCAAAGTCTGAAAATATTCTAAAATAACTTACTAGTCATAAATGACTGAAGAGCAAGAAAATCTAGTTGTTGCTGCTTTTTTTTTTTTTTTTAAATTGGGTTACTCCACTGATAGGTTCAAACAGAAAACTGCTAATTTCACGCCCCCTTTTAAATGGGACCATTCCTATAAGTTAAAGTTATGAGATTAAACCCTTCATTATATAAACAATGTTCACCTCTAAAATCCAGTAAGAATTGCTTGCTGGCACAAAATGTGTAATTAAGAATGAAATATTCAAAAAGTAATACCTGATATTTGATGAGTCTATTGAATTCTTAATGTCATTTAATGAATCTGTTAGTGATTTAAATTCAAAGGAATTCAGATCACCTCCTTCTGCTAGACACTGTAGGAGAAGAAAACGAACAAACAAAAAAGTTCTCACAGTTCGGCACAAAAAAAACTGACAGAGCTTTAATACTACGTATTTTATGGAAACTATTTTTTTGCAAACATTTTACCTTAATTTGCAGTAATATTGCTGTAAGTTTAGAGATAAGATCAGTTAAATTTTCACTCTCAACACAAAGCTGTCCTGTTGTTGAGGAATTTGCTTGCCTGACGATCTCCTGAGCCTCTTCTTCACACCTACGCCTCAGATCTGTTGGTTGGTCGGCAGGCTGGAGGCCTTGATCAGGAGCAAGCTGCGTAGATATAATGAAGAGAAATTAAGAATAAAGACCTCCTTTGCATTTAGTGTATGTGTGAAATGACAAATGATTTCAAAGAGAGTTCACAGGTATATAGTACACAGTATTTTTTTTGCATTTATGTACATGTATGTCTGTTTCAAAACTGGCCACTGGCATCTGCAAAAGTTCTGGTAACAGACAGACGGAGAGAGAGAGAAGGAATCCAATCAGCTACTACTAGCTTCATTTCAAAGTGACCCCCACCTACACCCTATTCCCAGGAAATCCTAATTTTTTTTTTTAACTTCGGTTAAACGAAGCCAACAAGTACATACAGATTCCAGCAAAGTCTTACCTCATAACAATACTGTTGAACTTTATGCAAAACTTTATTTAAGTCTTTGTTTAGTTGTTCTAGATCTAGAACAATAGTTGCGTATCTCCTCTGAAACTCAATACCTATTGGCATAGAATAGGATTTCTGTGGAAAAGACAAAGCGTATTAAAGTTAATGCAATACTGTACATTTATTTCTTTTGAACTCATCAAAAGGAATTTTCACTTGAAAAATAATACTGAGATATTTGAAATCCCAGTGTTTAACAGAAAAATGTTAACATACAAAATACTAAAATGCAGTATCACTATTTAAAACTCCAAGTGACAACTGTGTAGTAAGTACCATGCTTTTATTCTCTTCATAAAGTGCTATGATAATCTGTGGTGGTACATATGCTACAGAAGATGGGTATGGTCTGACCTGCTTATTTCTCCAGTAGTTGGGTAAGGCTTTTCTCTACTATATTAACAGAAAACTATCCTGTCAGTAGGAGAACAGTACAGGACAATATGGCCATGACCACCTCTGCTCCAGGGTGGGCGACACAGTTGTCTAGTAAGTTAGTGGTCACTTGAGGATGACTCAGTGCTACGCACCTTCTGTTACAACTAACAGTTCTGCCAAAAAAGAAAGTTACTAGAGCTTATATTTAGTACCATAAGTATTTTGGGTAAGCACAATTCTTCACAAAAAATAAATACCAGAATACAGTACTTTTTTCTTACACTGTTTTCAGAATGTGTCTGGACACTGGTTGGGTGATATTTACAAATATATTGCAAACTGTCCTCCACAAATGGCCTCTACTGCAAGGTAAGCTGGATGTTATTTCCACTGTTTCTCAGCCACAAGTGTGAGATACAGGTACGTCATACGATCAAACCTGTAGCTGTAGATTTCACACCACGAGATAAAGCAAATTGCAAAGTCAAGAGCTTTCATCAGGAGGATCCAGGTCAAAAACTCAAAATCAAGGTTTCAGTTATCAGTTCAGTTCAAAGTTCCCCATTAAACTTAATCACTGAAATGATCTCCATGGATTTACAAGTCTGAATACCAAATAAATAGGGCTTTAAACTAACACCATAACTTCAGAAGTCACCTAAGAGCAAACTGGAAACCAGCATAAATTTGATGTATTTCCTGCAGCTCTGGAACTTAAGGAAAAAATTGTAACTTTCAGACCGTCTTCAGTGACCAGCCCCTCTAGAGCAGACTAACACAGGTTGGCTGTGAAAGCCGCAGACAACTGTCAATTCCCCATCAGAGAGGAAAGGCTACGGGCATTCTATGCTAGCGATGATGAAAGAAACACTTCTCAGCACCAGCACTATTTCTGATCCGGGAGCAATCCAAGATCTGGAAACACTGACAAACAGCTGAATTGGCAGGCAAAAGATGGATGGCTTTCAGTTGATATGGAAGCAGATAAGATCTCTGTCACTAAGCATCTACATGCTTCTCTGGAATGACCAGCATCACCTTAACCTTGTCAAGTGAAAAAATGAACTAGCCATCCTTTTTATTTAGATTTGTTTATCCAAATGGCTATCAGAAAAGTCTTTACTGTTTAATGTACATGGTAACTTGTTTATAGCCTGCAACCAAGACTAGTATAGTGATGTCAAGATGCTTAACTATTAATAACCTGTCCTTTCAAAGAAAGGAAATAGAAAATCTGCAGTTGTATGTATCAATAGCTCCTCTGAAGGCATGCCCTGCCTCATGTAAATTTATTATTATTGATAGATAATAATGGACTACATTCAGTACCAGTCCTGATTTTGGTCAGTTCCGTTTATTTCTATATTGGATCAGTCATTAAAAAAAAAAAAAGTCTCCATAAAAGGATTGCTTTAAACCAAACAGTGGTGTTACTATAACAATTATCAAATCACAATTGTATGAATTATTATCAAAGTCTGACAATTAAACTATACCTGAATGAACTCAAAGGATTCTATTTTATTCATGTTCAGGTACGTTACTGATGTTCAAGTGCATTGGTGCCGGAAAAAGATTCTTGTTCAAAGAAAATACATTTTAAAGGAGAAACAACATACACTCAGTGGCACAAACGTAGATGGGATTGCCAAGGGACAAAGAGGATTAGAAGACAGGCTAAGAATATGGCCCAATAGAAAGGTATCACATCCTCTATTTTTATCAGGACAGCCTTGAATAGTAATGGAGCTTGCTTTATGATCGCTGGTTTACAAAGGCAACAGTGCAAGGGAAGAATTTCAGAAGCATCTCGAAGTACTTATCTAGGCTACAACTAAGCTAAAATATATCAAATTTAACATTTATTTCTAGATTCCCTCCTTCCCTGTTGCTTCTTTGCTCTCTCAATTTTGTTATTTTCCTTGATATTCTTACTCCACAATACAGTTGATTTATGACTTAATAGCTGAGTGACATGTTGATATCTGGATTCTTGTCAGAGGAAGGCTACTGTCATTCCTATGGATTTCCTATCTACGCAAATGTACTAACATCTCAGTAAAAACAAGAAGTTTTTTAGTTTGTTTTAGGAAGAGTTGGTAATTTTTCAGTATCAGAGTTACAGATTGCAATGGTATGTTTTAATCTTGTTTCTTTTTGGATCTATTTTAATTATTAATACAAAATTAAAAGAAAACATTTGATGCACAGGAAAAAATAATGTAGTAACTGAAATGATAACAAGGTTTTGAAGAGCAGCATCACAGCACAAAAGAAGAAAATTACAGAGACATAGGGATGGGACAGTAGGAAGCAGAATAACAGAACGTGCATGTGATCACTGAAGGGACAAAGAGGGAAATCTTACCACAATAAATCAAATCCTTCAACATTCAAATATTTTATATTAAAAAAAAAATTAGCATTTTTGGTTTCAAGAAATAAAAAGGACTCCTCTTCCTCTCCACAAACCTTTAGCCTTCTGTCTGTATGTTGTAGAGACAACTGTCTGAATGGACGCTAGCAGAAGGTTGAGACTGATAGCTTTCCACTTTCAAGTTGATTGATAGCCATGGGTGGTAGAAGAGGCATTCTTATCATTTTGATTTACTGACTGATGATTAGATAAAGCCTAGCAAGAAAAACTATTCTGCTGCTGCTAATTATGCTGTAGCTGCTCTGGCATTGTAATTTTAAATGCCGGTCAAGGGCACTCAGAACTTTATATAGAAAATCTCTGAACTGAGTTATTGTTTTAGCCAGAAAGCTAAATAAATAAGTACCTACCATCCACAAAATAAAATAATGATGAATGCCTTACCATATAAACTTATACCCAAGATTCTCAAAGTACGTAGTATTTCCTTACTTTACGTGTCAACTGACATATGCTATTCCAATGTTAACATTAATCAGTTTCCAAAGCATAATGCTTTCAAAGAAGAATCATATTTGAAACAACTGACCTCTCTGACTTGTCTTGAAAAAAAAAAAAAAAGTCACATTATAGAAAGTGATAAAATACAGATTTTATCTAGACTTTAGTTTTAATTGTATCTATTTGCATGAGCTGTTAAAGCATATCCTGTTTTAAGAACTGAAAAGGTAATATTCTCACCAGCTTTTCTGCTTCTGTATTCATCTCTCTCAATTGTTTGATGTGTTCTTTCTTGATCATAAGGATTTTCGATAACCTGGTCTAAAACAAAGGAACTATTTTTAGAATGAATAGGTCCTTAAGCAGTTTTGAAATGCCACAGAAATTCAAGACAATAAAATGTGTGTTTCTTTCATCATTTTAAGATACATTTCTCAGTTGTTCATCAAAGTTAAGATGCAGAAATAAAAATTAATTCAAATTAAACAATGGATTTTCCACAGATTTTTAAAGCATTTTCAAGTGCCCTAGATTGGAGAATGCTAAAAATCCATCAGCCAAAATTCCCTATAGGAAGACTAGAATCATAGAATCGTTTAGGTTGGAAAAGACCTTTAAGATCATCCAGTCCAACCATTAACCTACACTACCAAGTCCACACTAAACCAATCAAGGGTAGACTAGACTAAACCATGTCCCAAAGTGCCACATCTACCCGCTTTCTAAACAATTCCAGGGATGGGGACTCCATCACCTCTCTGGGCAGCCTGTTCCAATGCTTGACCACCCTTTCCATAAAGAAATTTTTCCTGATATCCAACCTAAACCTCCCCTGGCGCAGCTTGAGCCCATTTCCTCTCATCCTATCGCTAACTACTGGGGAGAAGAGACCAACACCCACCTCACTACAACCTCCTTTCAGGGAGTTGTAGAGAGTGATAAGGTCTCCCCTCAGCCGCTCCTCTTCTCAGGCTAAACAACCCCAGTTCACTCAGCCGCTCCTCATAAG